GTAGTATACGCGTGTGTAAATGTAGTAGAATATGTAGTATACGTATGTGGAAATGTAGTAGAATATGTAGTATACGCGTGTGTAAATGTAGTAGAATATGTAGTATACGTATGTGGAAATGTAGTAGAATATGTAGTATACGCGTGTGGAAATGTAGTAGAATATGTAGTAGTATACGTATGTGGAAATGTAGTAGAATATGTAGTATACGCGTGTGGAAATGTAGTAGAATATGTAGTATACGTATGTGGAAATGTAGTAGAATATGTAGTATACGTATGTGGAAATGTTGTAGAATATGTAGTATACGCGTGTGGAAATGTTGTAGAATATGTAATATACGTATATGGAAATGTTTTAGAATATGTAATATACGTATGTGGAAATGTTGTAGAATATGTAGTATACGCGTGTGGAAATGTAGTAGAATATGTAATATACGTATGTGGAAATGTTGTAGAATATGTAGTATACGCGTGTGGAAATTTAGTAGAATATGTAATATACGTATGTGGAAATGTTGTAGAATATTGTAATATACGTATGTGGAAATGTAGTATACGTATGTGGAAATGTAGTAGAATAATTTCTTCTTCAATGTAATTTTGCATAAGACGACATTTTCCATAAAATTAGAGAATGTGATCTAAGTTCGAAAGAAATTAGTTATTTAAAAATTTATAGCTGGAGTGAAATAGCACAATCTTTAGTTATTTTCGGCTATGTTCACAGAAACATGTGCATAAATATAATGCCTAATACACTTAATTTTATCACCCATGCTTGCGTTGAAAAATTTTTAGAAAAGTTTCTGTTGCAAATAGTAGAAATTTAAATGTCTTTGTTTCGGGTGCCGAATGAAAAATTCTTATCGAGAGAATAAAAAAAATCCAACAACAATAAGAGGACAAATTAGTAATTAAAAACTGTAAAGTGAAATATCTTAATTGAAGTCTGTCAAATAACAAAGTAAAGACCTTCAACTGTATCAAACAGTCAGTTTTCGGGCTCTGTTTGCCCCCAAAATGGCTCAGCGGTAAGTCTATAGGCTTATAACCTAAAATTAAATTTCGATACTCGTGGTGGGCACAGTACATATAGTCCATGGAAAGTTTCCTAATTTAGAAATACTGACAAGCGGGGAAGGAGGGGTTTCCTATTGGAATGTGAGGAGGAGGAGCAATTAATAAAACGAAAATTGATTGCCAAGGTTATAACGTCTACAAGATAAAGCGTGTGTAGCCTTAAAATGCTGCCCGAAGATTTGACCTTTCGATTCACAGTTTGGTACATTAATCATTAAACCTCATCTGGGCAAAGTGACACAAAATAAATGTATTCTATCAGAAAGAATAAAAAATGAATAGTTTTTACGGGTAATGTAAAGAGATTATTTAAATATTTTGTCTAAGAACTGACTGAAATCTGTTGTGATTAAACGCTCTTAAACTGAACACAATTGAGTAAGTTAGAATTTAAGTTATGTAATAACCAGCTAGGATAAAAAATAATTCAGAAAATCAAGTCAGTGTATGTTATGTACCTTCAATAGAAAAAAAAGTTAAGGTTGGAAATATTTTGCAGTTCTAATTTTCTTTATTTATTCAACTACATTAAAGGTCTTAGTCTCTAGCAGATGGCTCACACCCGAACGTTGTTTTTTTTTTTGTTGTTGTTGTTGTTGTTAAGCATAAAGCTGCAGGTATTAAAACCTTACTTTTAGCATTATAAGCCCTCAGACTTACCGCTGAGCCACAGGGAAAGGGACAAAATATGCCTTGCTTTGCAGCATTGTTTGTTTTTCTTTACTACCAGTTTTTCTTCTTCTGAGTAGCGTTACTTTTTGGTGAAGTTTCCTTCAGTAGCGTAAAAAAATCATTATGTTTTATTTCATTCAAAAAAAATTCAATGTCTAATCAACTGTTAAATTTAAAGTATTATATATTATTATTCATAATGAAATCACGATAAAATTAAACTTGCATTAAGTGTCATATCAATCTCGATTAGTTGTTGTAGTTGCTGTATAATTTGAACTAGGTTATTAGAAAATTATTCAACAACAACTTGCGTGTTTAAATTATAGTTTGTTTTTTGTATGCAAATGTCTACAGCGAGAGATAGAATGGGTGGATTGTAAATGACACATTGTAAAACACTGCGTTTACTCTAGACTACTCCGCTACCCAAATAAGTTTCTTAGACGTAGACCTAACATTAAAAGATGGTGTTCTACATACCGATTTACACCGAAAACTAACGTATAAACCACAATACGTAGATAATCAAAGCTGTCACCAAACACAATATCACATTCAATCAAGAAATTAGATTAAAGAAAATATGCTCTGACAGTAAGAACTATGATCATCACATTAATTCTTTGAAACAGACTATGACTGAAAGAGGTTATAAATAAAACACTGTCGCTCAACAACTTGACAAAGCTAACAATATACCACGTGAATCTGTCTCGAAACAGTTATCTAAAACTAATTCTCGTGTTCCACTGGTTATTACCTATCACCCAAAACTAAAAAAAAAAAAAAACTAACCCTGGATACTAAAGAAACACTCTTACCTCCTTCAACTTAATGATCGACTAAAATCCATTCTTACGGAAGTTCCTGTCGTTTCTTTCAGAAAAAATAAAACTTTCCATTCACACTCATTTCACGCTAAAGTAAACTTTAAATGGACACCATGTGGAAGACATTCTTGCAATAGCAAGCGATGCCAAACCTGTAAATTCATGCAGGAAACAGACAAATTTTCCGATAAAGACAAGCCAAAAAAAGTTCAAAATCACTAAACTAATAACCTGCTCTACAAAAACAATGTTACTTACTTAATCCAATGTCGAAAATACAACTTCCAATATGTAGATCCAACCAAAACAACTATACGGAAACATTTTAATAACCACAAATCAACAATCAAAACAAAGAACTTCCGATCGCAAAACACTTTAACATACCTTGACACTCTCTTGAAAACATTAAACTGTCGGGTATAGAGAAAAGTTTTACATCTAACAGAAACAGGGAAACTAAAGAAGCTTACTGGATAGCACTGTTAAATACTGTAACGTCAAATGACATCAATCTCGATCCCGGGATTGTTGACCTTCGCAAGTCTCTGAAAAGATTTTCAAAACTAAATTCATAATTAAACTTACTTTACATTATCAGTATTATTCTTGCTTAAATTTCTCTATATTGGTATGATTTCCTATATATTGCGTCACAATATTATTTTCTTTATTTCCTACCACCTTTTGCCGTTATTTTGTTTTATCTTTGCAGACATTGGTTAACAATTCTTATATCTATTATCCCACTTAAGTCTTTTATATAGGGCCAGGTGGTTAGGGCGCTCGACTCGCAATCTGAGGGTCGCGGGTTCGAATCCCCATTCCACCAAATATGGTCGCCATTTCAGCTGTGGTGGAGTTATAATGTGACGGTCAATCGTTGGGAAAAGAGTAGCCCAAGAGTTGGCGGTGGGTGGTGATAACTAGCTGTCTTCCCTCTAGTCTTACACTGCTAAATTAGGGACGACCAGCGCAGATAGCCCTCGTGTAGCTTTGCGCGAAATCCGTAACAAACAAACAAACAAACTAGTCTATGTACTATGTACTTTACACACCTCTTTGGCATAAACTAAACCTGACACAAACAACTCTAGGTTATGATTGGCTAGTTCTCTTGTACATCCGATTTACGTGACGTCGACATTCGTGCAATTATCTTTCATTAAACATAACCTTTTATTATTCTGAAGAAGAATAGTCAACTATTTTGGGTCTCGTTTGAAAAGCGTAAATTTATTAGTATTTTTGTTTTCATTTTCATACCAAATTACTACCAGTATTTGCCAATTAAATGTAGGCTAGACTACAAGAAAGAGCGTCCACACAATTATTGTAGAATTATTCTGTATCTAATTTATAATGGGATATTCTTCTGAGGTTTCACACAACATGTATTATCGAACTTGAAAAATAAACAACACCCAGGAGAAGATATATAGTCATAGATATTTTCAACCTGAATAGCAGACATCCTATGTGGCACATGGATTAAATAATCAAGTCAGAGACCCTCACCTTTTAGGCATAGCCATCCCTAATTTAGAAATATGGACCAGAGAGGGAGCAGCCAATCAGAAACACTCACCACCTACGTGGTTGTTCTTAACGCTTTGGTGGGATTAATTGTCACGGTTATAACACCCTCTTGGCTGAAAGTGCGGAGTGTGTTCAACGGCATATCACGTCTCGAACCTTCTACTTTTAGGTCCGCAGCTCAGTACCTATACCACATGATATTGCCCGCTGAGTAATCATAGGAGAAGGCACATTAGTACGTTACTAAATTAACCGTAAATTCCTAATAAGAATACGCGTTTTTTTTTTGTTTATAATGTACTATTTTACAACTTTAGTATATTCTGTGAGATAAACTACTATGTGCATCACGTGTAACCATCATTCTAATCCCCGTGTTACATTCCGTTAACATATTGCAATATTACAAAGACGTGTATTGGGTTAATAAACACGGCTGTACGTATCGCTATATGTGCTAACTTTCTCGCTGTACATGACTAATAGAGAAGAATGTAACACAAAAACGTGTTTGTTTTGCCTCCTGAACCAAGACTAAAGAATGCGCAAGTTCACATATTACTGATCCAGAGGAATAAAACTTAAGATAAATTTTTCATTTCCGTATAAAGGACTGTGAAAAAAAAGATATATATATATATATATATATATAGACGAACCTGTTGATTTCCGTGTTATATATGACTGATTCGGTAGAATATAACACAAGCTATGGTTTATTTCCAAAATCAGATCTGTGAAAGCACAAAATATACAGATCATCATGTTGACTTTCGTGTTATATAACACCAAATATATCTTACCTCCATGAACTGCCATGAAGAAGATTACGAGAGCACAAAATGTGTACATCATCATGCTGACCCCCCTTAGTAGAAATGTTACTGTTAACCCTCTTGAATGACACTGTAGCGAAGATGTTCGACTTTTTACAAAAATGTTCGTAACAATACTGCAGAACTCCGCGTAACTCAAGAAAACTCTTTGAAAGTCCTGTAGTGGTCTGGAAACGCCAGGGATTTACTAAAGTACATAAAATAAGCGTCGGTTGAGAAGGCCACAACGCATGAGCAGTAGGGTTACGCCCCACAGTTAAGCAACTGTCGATCTTTCAGGTTTTGTTGCCCAGATCACTATTAACCGCCTCTATAAAAAAAGAAAAATTACCTGAGCGTTGGGTGGAAGGACAAGACAGCAAGTCGTTTACTGTTTTGCACAAAATGAAAGCAAGAGAAACTGTCAAGACTACAGAGTATTCTAAAAAACTAAGAGGGATGTTTAGAAATACACAGCTTATCTCTACAAAACTTAAGTTATATCAAAACAACGTCTTCTCTGTGTTCACAATCACATCAATAAGTTGTTTATTAAACAAAACTGTGATAAAAATTGATAGGCTTAAATATTAAAAGCCCTCCTCCTCCCTAAAAACAACAACAAACAAACAAATTGGGACAAGATTTTTCAGCAATCGATTTCACCAACGTTTTATTTAATAGTTTAAAAAAACAAAATTTTAGCTGGTTCATTAGATCCTGCTGTAGAATCAAATTATATAGTTCAACATTTTGCTGTTAGGGCTTAATATTTAGTTTCTTCAGATGACCAGTAATTGAAATGTTAAACGTCAACAAAAACAACAAAATTTATTTCTAGATCTCAGTAAACATATAGCTAGTATTGAAGAAAACAAAAACTGTTTGTGTACAAATTTAAAACCTCATTGGGAACTTTTGTAAAACATTTGAAGCTAACGAAATTTTAATCCTAAATCTCATTCAAAAATTTTAAATAACATGAAACATTTTCCTAGTAATGCTTTTAGAACGCCGGAGATATGATGAACAGATTAAATATTGTTCAAATAACCTCCAATGTTTAATGGACTGAAGATTTATACAAAACGAAGAGTCTCTTCGTTGAGATATATTTTATAGGTTTTATACATTAATTTCAACATTCTCAATCTCCTGTTAGATACTTCACAAACTAATTTATAACAACGATATTCTACTGCTACTTTCCCCAATCAAACTCGTACCATCATTAACGTGAGGACGATTTTCACACTTATCTTTATCAATACCACTGTAGTAAGGAAATACAACATATATTACTGTGCTATAATATATGTTTCATAAACATAAAATAAAAAAAATCCCTAATTTGTGTTTTAAAAAACCCTAAATTTCCTAAATTCATCCCAAGGTATTATTTTATGAAGGAGAGTCTGGTCAGAAAAACTGTATTGTATTCTACTTTACTTTGTGAGTGGTGTTGCTTTACGATTGTCACATAGAGCTAAAAATACTTTTGACCCTGTTTTCCGATAGGCCGGCTTCAGAAAGATTGTATTGTTACGTCTCCGTTTGTTAATTAACTTTCCGTAACTTCGTTCCGACGAAACTTTAGCGACACAAGTTCTTT